GAGATACTTCAGGATGGATGTCAGGCTGTGAGGATAAACATGGATGTGTTCCCCAAATAGGTCAACAGAGGTCTCATGAGTAAACAATTGTATCCTAAAATCTGTGAGCTTTGTTTGCAGGAGACAATCTTGGTGAGAAAGACTTCAGACTTTTCCCTGCTGTTAAATTTAATGAAATGCCTCCTACAGCATTTCTAACATCAGCTTGATTTGAGGAGGCTGCTGTCAAAAAAGAAGAAACCAGGGGAACATGTTAAATCATTGCAAGAAAATGGTTCCAGCTTCAGTAAGGCAACTTGACCAAGGAATCCATTTTAAGAGAGTAAAACTGACACCTCTTAAAAGAACCAAGGTATCACACAAGTGAAGCAAGTGGAAATAGTGAAACACAAAATTGCTGGGAAAAAGGAGCACTGGCATGATTGGGAAAAACAATTGAAAGCATTTAATGCATTCATTTATACCCTGTCATGTTCTAAAGTGCATTTGTCAGTGGGTTTAGTTCCTGGGCAAGTGTAGAGGGTAGCTCTCTTACGAAAACCGAGTCAAGTGCAGACCCCATGCTGTTACAGTCTTTGGAGCTGAACAAGGCTCTTCCAGAAAAGAAAGGCTCTTCCACCCGCTCTTGGTGATCTAAAGAAGCACTAGCCACGGGCTGCTAAACCATGAAACAGCAGAAAAGAGGAAAGTCCCCAGAAAGACCAAAGGAAATCCTAGTCTCTCTTAAAACTGCAGGCCCTTCTTAGAACCTGTCTCGGAAAAGGCCCTAATGTTTGGAATTATAATCACTGTGCAAGTTTGGGGCGGGAACTGACCTGTCCAATGAGCATTAACTGCCCCAGTGTTATGGTAAACAAACACTTTTTTTTTTTAAGAGCACCAGTTCGAATAAATTAACTTTCCCATCTCAACTGACTCACCTGGCAGAGAGAAACTCACACAGTATGAAAAGAGGGAAGGTGGGAGAACAGTTCAAAAAGAGTCTAAGAGACAGGTGGAAGAGTCCAGAGGGGTCGTCTCAAGTTTACAAGAATTATCCAAAACGGTATCTTATGACATTCCTAGACCTCAGAGACAATATTATTGTTATCATGGAATGCAGTCACCAGATCCTAAGGATTTAACAGGATGTTGTTCACTGAAACCTGAACTTCATTGAACCCTTTCCTTTCTCATTCCACTGTGGTTTCCCACATTTAAATATATTGTCTATTTTTGTCCCTAAACCTTACTTATATATTTTAAACAATTAAATATTAATCATCCCTGCTTCACTGATTTTTGATGTGACCTTTTTCTCCTGCTATCCTAATGAAGAACAGTCCCTCGAGTCCTTTTTTTGGTCCCTTATGTCATTAAATGTTCACACTTTTAACAATTATATGGCGTTTTGTTCTTAATTTTGTTTTGACTTTCCCCCCAAAGTTGTTGCTTTCTTTTAACTGTTTGGGAGAAAAAATTAAATGCCCCCTCTTCTACTTTTGTGACATATACTATACCATGCTATCTAGTATACTAGAGCTCCTTGGTTTTTGCCAAATTTCTTTTCGATTTATCCACCTTTGAGCGAAGATATTATTTGGTTTTTGTTAGGTATGCCAAACTTTTCTGAAGTGTAGATTTCTCTACACATTACTCTCTTTCCCAAAGTAGCATTCCAAATAGAAGCTTATTAAAGTAGAGAAAAATAAAGACATCAGATGAGCTCTTCCTAAGCTTCCTCCCCTAACAGAGATGTCTCTATGGCCACACAGGTCTTTTTTCCCCTCTGTGCTTTCCTGTCAGTGCAAAGCTAACCTAACCTAACCTGCTTTGGAGCCTATCCACTTCTGCTTTCCTGGGGACTTTGCTTGTTAATTCTCCCTTCTTCTCCAACTTCAAACTTTTTCTTTCTCCATTGACTCTTACTCTTTAACATATAAATATTGTCACATTTTTTCCCATAAAAAAAAAAGCATTCTTAACTGTATATCTCCCTCTAACTACTTCTGCAGTTCCCTTCTTAGCGAAATGTTTGGGAAGAGCAGCCCTCAGGTCTTATCTTCACTGTCTCACATCCTATTCACTTCTTTACTCATTGCCTGCCCTCTGGCTCACTTGCATCCCAAGATGGAGTTGCTATAGACAATGGCATTTGTAGCTTTCCTGCATTTGACTGTGTTTAGGGAATTAGACATTGAGTGCCCCCTGACCAGGCAATATGCTAGGTGCTACCAATAGAGAAAGAAGTGAGAGGCAGATGTGATCCCTACCCTCATGGGATTCACCTGATCAGCCATTCTGATTAATACTCAGGTCCCTTGACTTTCCTTTTCCTTGCTCACTTCTGCAGCCTTCAAGTAAATGCCACTTGTCTCTCTACTCTCCTTTATTATTTTTTGTCCTGTCTTATTAGACACATCTTCTCAAGGCAATCACTTCTATACCCATAGCTTCAGTTACTTTCTATATACTCTGATAACAGTACAATTTTAAATGTTGTTTTCATTTAACAGTTTTTTTTAGATAGGATGCCTCATTTACTAAAACCACAGATTCCAAGTTGTTGCATGAAATAATCACTAAAAAATGTGATAATCTTAGTGTGTCAACTTTAGGAAATTTCCCCAATTACTTTTTAAAATTTAACATGTATGTTATTTTCAAAAACATAAGTTAGGATGTCACAAAACAGACTTAGCAAAAGAGGCATATATCCAACTTTTAACCAGAGCGCTCCTTTTAGATGTTCATGTTCCACTTAACAGTCAAAAATTATCTTCCCAAACCCATTCCTTTTCTTGCATTCTCTATCTGGGGCAAGTCACCACTGTTTACCCAGATCCCCAAGCAAGAACCCTAGCAGCCATTTTTGCCTCCCCTCTTCATTTCTCCCTCCATATTCCAGTCATCAGGCACTTCCATTCCACCTCCCAAATGACCTCAAATCCTTTCTTTTCACTTCAGTCCTTGCCACTGCCTTTAGTTTGACTTCTCTCCTGGATGACTATAAAGTTTCTGAATTTGTCTTGGTGCTTCCTGCAGTCCTCTTTATTGTGCAGAGGATCTCACTATAAATCTTCTCATAGCAACTCTTCAACATCACATCATTCAATTGGTCCCAAGTTTCCAGTATACAATTCAAACTTTTTATCCAGCATCTACTCTGGGGTCAGATAGATCTAGGTTTGAATTTCAGGTTTATGCACTTGCCAGCAGTGTGACCTCAGACAGGCCCTTTGAGCCTTTGTTTTCCCATCTTCCTGAGCTCACTGAGGGCAGGAATGTTTCACACAAACAGCGCCTGGCACAAAGGAGAAAATGTGGAATGAAAGGAGACCTTTTGTTTTTCTTTTTTAACCAGTCCAGCTTTTTATTTAACTATTATACAACAGCTTTTAAGAACTGTTTAGTAATCAGCAGCCCATATAGCCATTTAACATACCAAAACAGAGTATGCAAGAGATGCATCACATAGGTAGGTACCCAGGGGACAAAGGTTCAGAAGTTTATAACCTGCTTTGAATATGAGAAGAGCCACAATATTGTTTGTTTGAAGGGAGAACATTTTAAAATCCACACCAAAAAAATTGTTCTTCCTTTTTTTAAAAAAATTAAGGTATCACTGATACACACTCTGTGAAGGTTTCACATGAGCAACATTGTGATTTCAACATTCACCTGTATTATCAAGTACCCCACCCCAACCCCATTGCAAGCACTGTCCATCAGCATAGTAAGATGCTATAGGGTCACCACTTGTCTTCTCCATGCTATACTGCCTTCCCTGTGACCTGCCTATATTGTGTGCTAATTAATTGTTCTTTTTAAAAAAATCCTGACATACAAGCCACCTCTTTCCAAGTTTTACTTCTACTTTTATTTTCTAATAATCAGCCTGTGGGGATCCACGCTTTCTGGGATCAAATCCTGGACCAACATCCCCGAGCAGTCATGTGACTTTGGGAACATTACTTCTGCGGCTCAATTTTTCTATAAAATCTGTAAAATGAGGATTGCTTTTGCGGGTTAAGTGAATACTTCACTTGTAATGGTCATGTAAGTGCTTGCCCAAAGTTAACTATCATTATCATCATCTTCATCAGATCAGGACCGTGGTATCCCCACTTTGTGGTTCTCAGTTTTGGATGAGAAAAACGTGCTTTATGCGTTGGTTTTGGCCAAGGATGGAAAACCTGGAAACTCCTGCCGTGCAAGAGAGAAACGGGCGGGAAAAGCGAGGGGGCGAATCTCAGCGTTCGGAGCTGGGAGGGACGAGGTCGGTCCCTATTTTACCGGTGAGGAAGTGGAGGGGTGACGTGTCATCGAGTCTCATTCAAGACACGCAGCCACAGCTTTTCATTGAGTAGGACCAGGGCCCCGGGGGTTGTTATGATCAAGTTACGGGAAAAAAACGAACACTTTTTGGGAGGCAGGAGAAGAGGAGCATTTAGTTACAAAAACGGTCAGCAGTTCGGCGTACCTAAATTGGGTGGACAACATATGAAATGAGTCAGCTGTCAGGCCCGGTGAAACCAAGTTGCTAACGGAACCGAACCTTTATACTAAAGGGGGCTTTCTATAGAGCCCACTGACCAAGGTGCTTCGATTAACAAATGCCTGCTGCTTTTCCCGCAGGACCGGAAAGATCCGGGCTGCACGCGGTCAATGGAAACTGGAGTCCGAGTTTCGCCTCGCGCGGGGCGGAGCAGCCGCGGGCCGGAGGGAGCGGGGGGCGGGGGGGGGGGCATTGCGAGTCACGTGTCTGTGCTCCGAGGCGGGCACTTGGAGGGAACTCTGGGCGTGATTGGTCCCTCCCAACCAGGTGACCAAAGGACGCTTTCCGGTTGGCAGGCGCCAGCCAAGCAAGCGGCCCTCAGTCGGAGGCGGTGACGGAAGGAGGAGGGGCTCCGTCAGAATTCTCTCTCCGCAGTGGCTGCGCCTCGCGGCGCTGGTCGGGTCCCCACCCCTTTTAAATGAGCCGGCTGGTCGCCGCCCTCGCATGCTAGTCAGCTCTGGGGAGGCGGTAGTGGCGCTGCGGCGGGGGTGCGGCCGGGGCCGGAGCCCTGCCCGCATCCCGGCGGCGGGGTGGGCGGGCGAGCAGCGGGCGAGGCCGCGCCTGCAAGCGCGGCGCAGCCCCGGCATAGCCCGGAGCTACGGTTGCCGGCCACGCCATTGTTGGGGGAGGGGGTGACTGCCGAACGCGGCGGAGTCGGTGGGCGACCGCTGGCGGCGGCGACAGCGAGAAGTGGAGGCGCCCCATGGGGAACACGCTGACCTGTTGCGTGTCCCCCAATGCCAGCCCCAAGCTGGGCCGGCGCGCGGGGCCGGCGGAGCCAGACTACGAGTCTGAGAGCTACCAGGCGGCGGCCGGGGAGGCGGTGGCAGCAGCGCCGGCGCCGGCGGCCGCAGAGCCCGCGGAGCTGGATTTCGGAGCCGGCGAGGGCCATCACCTGCAGCACATCAGCGACCGCGAGATGCCCGAAGGTGAGGCGGCGGGCGCCCTCCCCCGACGGAGCCGGCGCCGTCCGTGCCCGGGCGCACCCCTGGCCCCCGCCTTCCCGGGTCCCCCGGGAGAGAGCCGCCGCCTCGGGCTCCTTCCTGCCCGGAGCCAGCTTTCCCGGGACTGGGCACTGGCGACGACGGCTGGCTCTGCCTGGCGTCCCCACCCCGTATTCTTTCCCCAGTGCGCCCGGCCAGTTTCTTTCCGTCCTCCTTAACCCGAACGCCCAGTTCTTCTCCCTGTGCCCGTTTCCCTCCCCGGCCTGAGACCCTCCAGTCCGCGACCCTTCTTGTTTGTGGCTCTGTGGGACCTTATAAAGACTTTTTGGTGTATTCTCTCCCTTTTCTCAATGAAAACCTAAATACCCCACCTAGGGCGTATCCATCCCACCTCCCTATTCTTAAACCAGATGGTACCTAAGTGAAGGAACCAGGCAAGGGCTTCATGTTACCCTTCCTCCCACCCGGTAAGGTAGTTGATACACGGGACGATTCAGATGAAAACATTTTAGGGTTTGTTATTTAAATTCAGAATAGAGATTGACTAGGAGAATCTAGCTTGTTTTCTTAAGTAGGCTGGTTTTTCAGTCGCCTCCATAGAAGCTGCTTTATTCCTTTGAAGTAACTATAATTTGGACACGGAAAGAAAATGGTGGGAGAGGGGGCTTGAAATAACTCTGAACAGTGTGAAATGTTACTGTCAGAGCTACAGAGAACAGTTTTTTAACCAAAGGAGAACCTGTCTGGTTCTGATTACTTAAAAATTCCTACTTGGACACAAATATGACTTCAGCCCTATTTAGTGACTTAACATTTCACTTACACGTTGCCTTTTCCAAAGGAGAGCTGGGGTGCTCGTGAGACTGTTGGCCAAAAGTTTCATAAAAGAAAAAACATAAATTTAGACTTTAATTTGTAGCATAAAGGTTTCGGAGTTAAGATCCCAGATACTGCGCAAGAACGTTTGATTCCCTGCCCCCACCCCCCACCTCCGCTAGAATCCTGTTAGAATCCTGTTCAACGTTAAGATTGTTGAGGTAAAAGTTCTTCAGATTAAATGGCTGGGCGCGGAGCGCGGGGCGGGGTGAGGGGGTGGAGAAGAGAGGAAATGTTTGATTTTTTGCAATTTTGGAAAGGAATGTTTTCTAAGTAAAAATAATTCTGGGTAAAAACGTGGCTCTTTAATGAAGACTGTGTTTTTGAAGTAGAAAACATTGTATTATAAGAACATTGTATACTTAAGCCCCATTCCCATTTGTTTCATTTAAATGTCAGGTTATTTCATGGAAGAAATGTCAGCTTTTCTGCTATTTAAGCTTTAGTTGGGCTCTTTATTTTTTTACAAGTCATAATAATTAAGCCGGTTGTTTCACCAAATGATGGGCTTGGCTGTGTAACTGGGAAGTACTCCCTTTTCAGATATTAACATGTTGTGAAAGAATGAGCAAATAATGTGAATTAATTGTAACCTTTAAAAACAAAGCATGCATAAGTACTTGTGAAAACTTCTGTTCTCTTGGTGCTGTAAAGTAAGCCTCTGAGTGATTTTACAAACCAATTAGTAAATGGATTCTGCTGAATGAAAGACTAAATAGGACCTTTATGTAATTCTTTTAAGATTAAACAACACATTTTCATGTGTATCTCCTTTGGCCCTTCCAACTACATATATAAGGCCTGTGTATATTCTTCCTATATTGCTGATGAATAAACCAAGAATTAGAGATCTGAAATGACTGTAACATAGCTACTGAACAGAAAAGACTGACGTGGAGGTGATACACCAAATTAATTTCTTGCGGTGCTTAAAAAACTCTTTAGAATGCATTTTATATTTTATAATTTATCCATAAGTTGGCCTATCTCATTTTACTCCAGTCTTGATTGTTTCCTTCAGTTTATTGTACACAGCTCAGAAGCAACATTTACCTCCCCATCTAATGTCTACACATTCACTGCAATGGATAAGAATAAAAATAGAAGCCATGAAATAGCCTAAATTTACCAGTCAGGTAAATTTGTTGATGTATTTTAAAGAGCTTGTTCCAGTGACCTCTAATTGACGCTGAGAATGCCCTGGATAGAAGGACATTAGGCAAAGCTGGTAAGAGGGCAGGTAAGGTACCAATTTTAATCATAAGACTATGGTAAGGAGTGCTAAGTCAGAAAAGTTGAAAAAGAGTTCTTGAGTACAGAACTTACGTTTTTATGTTTAACACGAAATTTCAATTTTTCTTAAAATTGTTTTTTGGCATTCATTAAAGTGATGAGAAACCTCAGTTTCAGCACTTGCCTTTTAGTAAGTTTCCATAGAAACAAGGTCAGAATACCAAATGTAAAGTATAGGCACATTGAAAGTTTGCTTTTAATGTCTTTATTTAAATTTTTTATTACTTTCCTTGGAAACTGAAAAATACCAACTTAGATGTAAAACATTTTGGCTTTTTACAATGATGAATTATTTGGTTACTTAGACAAAGTCATACATAAATTGTGTGCTACTTTGTTGTTCTGAAACATTTCAGAATATTTCCGCGAAAGAACCTAGTATAGATTTCCGATTACTCAAAATAATTTTTCTACTATTTGCCTTTAAGTATGTCTAATGTAACTGAAGGTAGTATCAGAAACAAAGATACTTAAGTCTTATTATCCAAGTTTACTATTACACCAACTTTTCATATAGCTGTTTATGTTTTGACCTAACGAGCTTTGCTAATATAGTGGCTAAAGGTGCTCTGTCAAGTGGCCCCTTCCTCCCCCTCCGCATGAGGTGTGAGTAGGGAAGAATTGGCAATATGCTGTGGAAAAACTTCTGAGCAATAGATCTTTCCTCTTTCCAGGAGCTATTTTAAACCCTCTTTTTTTTTTTTAACTTTTTTTGATGGCAATATTAATAAGCATTTGATGTAGAAGTTTAGAAACTATAGAAAAGCCATTCACTCAATCATAACATTCAAATTTCTATTACTGTTTTGATGTGGATTCTTCTTGAACCTTTGGTATGCATTTGTATGTAAAGGTCACCATGTGCTGCTTTGTAACTTACTGTTGCAAAGAGAAGTAATGACATAAAGCTCCCACACCTGCTTGACACCTAGAGAGTGCTCCAGGGCGTATTTCCGTGCAGTTGCATGCAGCTCCACTGCATGCCTTTTAATGACCGTTCAGTGTAGCATCCAGTGATTGGAGCATCATTCATTTCCCCACCCAGTATTGTTAGGCATCTTTTGTAGTAAAATCATACACAGTCCCATTATAATGCTTTTTCTGCGGATACAGAGAAAAACTGAACCATTGTACCTCCCTATAGAATGCAGATGGTGTACTGTAGGATGAATCATTTTGTAGTCAAGATATTTGAACATTAAGGTTACCATTGGTTTTTTACTGGACATTAGAATTCCTCTCTTAGGTTTTTTTTAGGTTCATAGTAGCCTGTCCAGTGTCTATAATCTGAGTAACTACTCTAAGAGATCTGAAAGTAATGTTGGTCTTACATGATATATCAAAGGACAGCATTAGAAGAAATCTTAGAAGGTGTGAGAAACTTGGGAGAAACTTAACTGGTTTGGGGTACACTGAAACACATACTGGGCAACATTCCAGATGCAGGACAAACAGTGCCTCTATCCTAACTCAGGTCCTTATATTCTAGAGGGACCAGGGAGAGACAACACTTGAGTAATCAAGAACATCAGATAGTAAAGTGCTAAGAAGAAAATAAAAGAGAGTAATAGACTGGGGAGGAGGGCAGTTTTACATGGGGTGGCTAAAAACAACTGCTCTGAAAGTGGGAGGGAGCTGTGTGAGGATGTGGGCAAAGAGGCTTCCATGCAGAGTTCCTTAGATGGGAATATGCTTGGTACAGGCAAAGCCCAGAAGAACACAGGGATGGCTGAAGCACAGTGGAAGGGATGCCAGGAGGAATGTGGTGGACTGTATGCCTAGTGGGCCTTGAAAAATATCTGCATTTTAAGTTGTAATGGGAAGCCACTGGAGGATTATGTGCAGCTTGAATGATGTTAACTTAAAAAAAAAAAAAAAGACAGTAGCTGCTGTATTGGAATAGACTATGAATCAGGCAAGGGTGAAAGCAGGGGACCAGGCAGAAGGCTGGTGCAGTAGTTCAGGAGAAGTCACAGTGGCTTGAACAAAAAAACAAGGGCCTAAAATAGACTGACTGAAAGAAATTAAGTGAATCTAAATGTAGGTGACAAATGTAATGGACAAGTCACAGGAAAAGAAATACAGGTGACCCTTGAACAAGTCTTCACACATAAAGAGTAATGCAAAATAAAACTACATACTATATTTTCTGTCCTGTTGGGAGAAAATTCATAACCTTAACACTACATTCTTTGAGTCTATGAAGAAACAGTTACATTCATATAGTGCTGGTGGAAATGCAAAATGGTCCAACCCTGTGAAGGGGAAGTTGGCACAATCTCACAACACTCACAACACTGCAAATGCAGTTAATCCATGTTGAGGAATTCAACCTGAAGATGTATACCATAAACATGAACCCACATATTCACAAAGTTTTGTTGCATTATTTTTTAAAGCAAAATATTGGAAATTACTCAAATGTCCAGTAAGGGGGTGAAACAAATCGGTACATCCCCAAAGTTAACTGTGGCACTGTAATAAAGACTCTGACTTTACTGCTGTGAAGTGATGGCCAGGATTTGTTACCTGAAAAAGTAAAGACAGGACATAATGATAATCTACTGGAGAAGGAGGGAAAATATGTATTTGCTTATTAAAATAAAAACACTGGGAGAAACTCTTGCTGATTGTGTGTTACTCCTTTCTTTTAATGGGGAGCCAAAGCTGGTAATTACTTAAGATATTTGGATGTGGGTAATGAGTGGATATTTCATACACCTTCCAATGAAATGCTGATTGTTCACCTTTTGCTTTTGAGTTAATGAAAGGTTTGTTATTTTGCTTTATATAGTATATATAGATAGTTCTTGCATTTCATTTGATTCTCACAGTGTTGCATTAGTACAGGAATTAATGTTTTCCATGTGAGAAAACAGGCTCTGAGAGTTAATGAATTAACTTGTCCAAAGTTTTAAAAGTGAGATGATAGCTTATTGTAAATTCAGGTATCAGGCATATAGTAAATAGCCATTATAGAAAGACTCATGATGTGGGCTTTGGTTGCTGCCTTTTTTCTTCCCTTTTACTAGTATATTAAAGTAACTAAGCTTTAGAATTAAAACAGTAACGTTGCATAATGTGAAATGGAGGTAGTAACCTGCAAACTCAGAAATGTTCTTAAAAGTCCAAGAAATTAAAGTACTTTTTAGAAATACAGAAAGGAAGAAAGGTGTACTTCACTATGTAAAATGTCACATCTCAGTCATAGTCACTAAAATGAGGATAGAGGGCTAAAGACTGAGAACCAGTGTAGAGGCAGGTGCCAAAGAGGTCTGGAAGCCAGAGTTAGGATCATCAGGTGGCAAGAAAAGCAGAAGGCAGGCTGAAGTGAGCACTAAGACTCGGGGGGACCCAAGATTCTGCTGTGTGTCCTCTGGTGAGGCAAGCCAGCTCAAGGCCATTGGGGAGGAATTACCTGACTAGGCTGGAAAGTGGGGGCTCAAAGAGGTAAAAATCAGTGTACGTGGTAATTGTAAGGCTCAAAATGATTGTGTGATGGACCATAAAACTTACAATGTATGATACAGGGATGATAGTGTAGTTCAGTAAGTGCAGGGAAACCTTAGGTAAACAGGTACCTGTAGTTGGCACAGAAACTGCTGTCATCTATTTAATTGGAATATATTGAAATCAATTCTGTCAGATAATTTCTTGGTTACTACCCTCTCCCTCTAATACTTTGACAAGGAAAATCATTTATTGATAGTTTATGACTGCATAATTTTATTACTTTTAGCCTTTAATAATGCACTTCATTTATTGTAAGTTGCCTGTGTTTTCACATTTTTAACATCTGTGCAATAGAGATGGATCTTACAATTTATAGGATCTTAGATAAGGGGAAAAGCAGTATTGGATATCAGTGGTGCTTTATGGATTTCCTCTGAAAAATCCTTACATTAAGACCCAAGTTTAATATTGAAGTCACACTTTTCCAACTCAACCTATCATGCTGTCAAACTAAGTTGTAACTTAAATTGATAATAAGAAAGCAGTGGGTCTTCAAATACAATTTTAATCATAACCCCTAATCATGAGCTCAGGAATATTTCTCTTCCATTAAAACATTCTTAGAGGTTTCTAAAGAAATAATTTTTGGAAGGATTCACATACAAGATGCACAATTTCCTGACATATCTCTAAATCACTGTGCATGTTGGTAAAAGTGGTAATGCTTTGCTTAATAGTTGGCAATCTTTGTGATAGTAAAAATAATATATTATTTATCATAATCTCTAAGTTCTTGGGAGAACAATGGAGAGTGCAGAAATATATGTGAGTTCACTAATATCTTAATTATCCATTCTATAAAAAGGAGCAAAGTGGCATTTGTAATTAGCAAAAAACACATATAAAAACGTAGGCTAGAGAGAGAAGATTGATGTTTTCTGAAAACCCTAATGAATACATACAAATGATAGGCAGCACATCAAAGTAGAAATAGACTGTTAACTATGGGAAAATGATCAAACTGTAATCAAAGCAAAGCAAAGCAAATTAGAGACACAGTGAGGTTCCTCATTCACATCAGTAGAATTTTTTACCTCTCCAAGTATCCAAACCTGGAGTCAGAGCTAAAATTGGTATGGTCGGTAGTATTATACACTTAATATACCCCCACTATCTTTAAAAAGTAATTTAGTATTATTATACATTGAACCATGAAAACAATCTAACCTTTGGTCTAGTCATCCTATTTTGAAGATCTTACCTGAGAAGATTGTTTAAATACTAATCCAGAAAACAACACATGTGAAGGTTTTTCTCATAATTTTATAAGACTTGAACTTTATAAACCTAAACCTCAACAATAGGTGGATGGCTAAATAAAGTATAGCAGTAGCACTTGATGGGCCAGTATGTATCCATTAAACAGTAAATGTGCTGCAGTGGGGTGGAGATCACATGTCAGTAACAAAAAAGGGCTTAAGTGGTATATTGATTAGAGATATATTTTTTTTAAGTATAAGAAAAGCAACTAAAAGTAATGGTTGTGAGTTTATGGGTTATTTTTAAACAAAGCGTTATTTTCGCTCTTGCAAATTTTGCTCATCACAAAATATTTGTTAAAAGACTGAGCAGCAACTTACTCCTATTCCCAGCTTTAGTGTGATTATCAGTACTGCTGATTAACCACATCTCTCTGAGTAGCAGGTTAAGGAAAATCTTACCGAAAAATAGCTTAATTTTAAGTATTAAAAAATGTTTTTTTTAATTAAAAAAATATGTATTGACTTGTATAACCAGAGTTCACCAAGTTAATTAGGTACTACTTGACCCAGGAATTAAACGATCTCAGAACCTAAGTTCACTGTCTTCTACTGATCTCTTGAAAAGGCTTTTCTCTCCGTTTTGGTAAATGGAGTGAGTGTCCAGCAGCTCCAGACTAGCTAAAGATCCTAGGGTACTCCTATGCCTTTCTCTTCCGGTTCTTGGGAGGACTCAGGCCAATCCCGGGGCATGTGCCCACCCCAGGTAGGGTCGAGGAAGTGCCAGCTCTTTTCTTGTCACTTGGGCTAATTTTGCTTTTCTAATGCATGGTGTCATTTGTCCCAGCTTCTTGATTTTTGTAGATACTTAGTAGCACATTTTTTAGATCCTTAGTAGCACATTTTGCTTTGGTGGGGCGGAGGAGGGAGGGGGAGAGAGAGTGTGTGTTTTAAGCCTGCTCCTACTTTGATTTTGGTACTTATTTTTCCTGGACTTCTGTTGAAATTTTCAAGTAAACTTTATCATGCCATAGGCACTGTATGTAATATGGCTACTTTTGTCAACATTTCTACTTATTTTTTAGATTCAAATGTAGTGTATTTGCTTTCTTTTTGGTAGGAAGTAGTCATGAATCCTTTCAGAAGCCTTAGGTTAGAGGCAGCTGTGAGAGTATCTGCCTGCCACTTTGTGCACAACTTAATTTGAATTTAAATAGCCAGCATTGTCTCATTTTTTAAATATGTGGAAAAAAATTTACGTGAGTCTTTTGCATAAAAATGTTGAATGGTTTCTGCCGAAGGCAGTTTGATAAACTTCAAATTCAGTGAGAAATTTCAGTGAAGAACAAAACATCTGGTATAGCTAAATAAATTTTTCATGCTAGCAGTACTATTAAAATGGATGGTTCAGATTCCTAACTTAAAGTGGGAAGTCCCAAATTATGTTCCTGCAAGATTCTAACTTTATTACTTGGTGGAAAAAAAGGAATGTAGGTAGATAAATTTGTGAATGCTGAGTTAAACAATATCCACTACTAGACTGATTCATTTTTAGTATATCTGTGCATTTTGATTTTCTAAGATCCAGGGATACAGTGTATTTCAGTTTGACCATCAAATTCCCCTTAAAAGTAGGACGGTTGTTATGTGGCTTGGGGAATATCAGCCACTATTCTGTCAGGATCTTGGTCTAGTTTCTTACAAGATTGGTTAAGTGGTTGAGGTGGACATTGCTGGGGAGTGTTCATAGGTTGTTGTTGTTTTTAATGACAACTTGATTATCCCATATGGTGGCAGACTTTGTTTTATGAAAAATCTGGTTCCTGTTTTGTATTCTTGCCTAAATAGAGGACTATCCCACATTGGTACAAGGGGAACTACAGGCAGACATGCCTTTATGTAGGTATGGCCAAAATTTTTCACAAGCATTCTGTCATCTGCTCCACAAAGTACTCTTGTTGAAGACCCATATTAATCATTCAGTATGGAAGGAAGAAGTAAGAGTTTAGCTTTGGAAATTGAGTGCAAAAGTTTAAAAACACTTACTCTCATGGAAATGTTCCTACAGAGTAGAACATTGAACTTTTTTGTAGTCCTCTTAAGTCTGCCATAATGTATAGCCCCCAAATAAATGACAGCTAATTAAATGAGTTCATTTGAATACAGTTAGAATCAGCCATTTGATTGTCTAAAGAACACTTGCTAAAAGCAGCTATTGGTTTTTGACATGTATTATATATTGAGCTGGTATCCAGCAGTAATTGGCCATAGCATAACTGGCTTCTTGAAACTTTCTGGAAGGTGTCAGTATTTTTTAACTGATAAGTAGAAGGGGAAAGACACACATATGATTCATCTAAAAGCTGCAAAGATTATTTAGGTACAAGTTAAAAAAAGTTACAGCCTGGTTTTATTCCACATATATGCAGAGATTCTACAATTGTGCAATTTCCCAATAGAATTTTTATATTGCTGTCTTTACTAAAGCTGGCTTATCATTACTAAAATTCTTCCCAAGACTGTTAAAAGTGATTACAATTGATGTGTAGCTATTTTTAAAAGTCATGTATTTTTTTCCTCACCTAAATTATCACACCTTTCTTTCTTTTTCCTATACAGACTTAGCTTTGGAATCAAACCCTTCTGACCATCCAAGGGCAAGCACAATTTTCCTGAGCAAATCTCAAACTGATGGTAAGACAGTATTTTTTTCCCCTGAGAAAAAGATTGAGAACTGTTTTTCTTTTGTATATAATAGAATGTATTTTAAAAAACTCAAACATTGATTTAAATGTTTCACTTTTTCATGTATTCATTTGTCGTATTTTAATATGTGATGATAAGCTTTTCTTTAGTTGTCCCTGATTTAGTGAGGAGACCATGTAGACCGTCGACACCTTTTGCCCCTTCTTTATAAACATAGTCGATTGGCCACGTGATGTAGATGTGGTCTTTCTGCATACTGTTTTGTCCTTTTTTCCCTTTGCTTCAAAGAGCACACATTTGAAAGATGAATGAGAGGATTTAGGTAACAGGTTTTTATTTAACAAATCAGAAGAATCAATTGTTTATTTATGGGGATTGAATCTGTGAGTTTGGCCCCACTTTACACAGTGATTAACCAAATGAGTCTATCTTAAATCCAGATTTATGCTACTCAAAACTTTTAAGCTACTTGAAAGCTTCTCATCCTAATGTAATTCTGTGCCCAGGATATATCAGAGCAGACATAACCTATGGGTGTCCTAGAAGGTTAGCCTCAGCTTGTGAAACTTGTGTACATTCCCCGTGTCCTTCTTTTAGGATGAGAATCAGAACTGTACGATGTTTTCTCTCTCCTGCTTGCCTGCTTATTTTCCTTAATGTTATGTTAAGTCCTAGTTTATTTGCTAAAAAGCCACATGTGACCAAGTTTTTCATCACATACAAGTGAGGGTTTCATAATATTTGAAGTAGTGCAACACAGTAAAAAAATGGGGGTTTCTAACCTGCATTTTCATAGTGTGTGTACTTTGTCCATCTTGATCATTTATGGTTAGGATCATTGTATTTCTCAGGTTCTTCCAGATCCATGAATTGGTCATGTAAAGAGAGTGTGGAGACAGTAAAAGAAACCCATACCCTTTCTCCTCAGTTGTAAGGAACCGGTGCCTATGAAGCCATCTCAAGTTAGAGGGGCAGTGTAAGAAACAAAGTGAGGTGCAAGACCCTCTTTGGAGCTTTTATTCTTCTGGTGGCCTTTGTTAGAGCAAAATGCTTTTGTGTGCTGTCCATATGTTCATGTAGGTTAGTGCACTCATTTTAAAATGTCAATTTGAGATAGGTTACTTTTCGGTTGTGTATGATCTGTTAATTTTTTCAGTGAGATATTTTAGTAGATTACCAATAAGTGGTTTAGAATGCTTCCAAGGATACTCATGTATCTAGAGATTAGTTTTTAGCCAGAAACTGGCTCTTAGAGCTATCGGCTGTTAGTCCTGGTAATTAAAGTAAGCTATGTAGAAATGTAGAATTAGCAAATACTACTGGTTAGTGGCTCAGATACCCACTAGGTAAACTTTTTATTAGCTAAATTTCTCACCTGGTCTGACTTGTTTTGCCCTTTTGTACATGCAGAGTTTTTCACTTGTACCTAAGATAGAATGTCAGAAAGTAAAAATAAATTTTCAGATTTTACTTCATGGGACTCAACTTGCTAGGTGACTGAATTATAAATTTTGTTGGAAATTATTTAAAAAATAGAGTGGAATTTTATCTCATTTTGTTGTTGGTAATCCATCAGACAAATATCAACTATTTTTTATTTTTCTATGGCATTTGTATCAGAATTGATCAGTTAATTTTTTTTATTCTTAGTGCGAGAAAAGAGGAAGAGCAACCATTTAAACCATGTAAGTAAACAGTTGAAAAGTTAATTAAGAAATCAATAATTTGAATTAAAAGTGTTTGCCATGATTCCTAAAAAATATAATGGACCCAATACTGTTAACATGGACCTCTTTCTGTAGATTTTCTAAATCTCTTCCATTTTTTTGCCATCATTTTTAAAACTTATTTTTTAACCAGAGTAACAAAAGTATGATAGCTAAGTTAATTGCACTCTCTCATTGACTTCCCATGATAGCAGGTGAAAGCTTCCTCACTCTGTGGTGGCCTTATTTCCCTCCCTCTATTCCTTCAACATAATCATGGTTTTTATTAAATCAGAATCAATATTTGCTTTATTATGAGTATGCAGATACTGTTCACTGCTGATCCTTATAGTTCTCTGCCTATGCAGACCTTGTATACCCTTCATTCTGTTTCTTAAATATTTCTGAAATTTGAGCAGCTCTCTACTTCTCCTGGATAATCCAATCCCCCCTTTCTTAGCCAGTATGATCTCACATAGCCAAATATAGTAAGTCACTCCCTGGCTGGTCTTCCTGATTTCACATTCTTCATTTTTTTGTGGAATTAATTTCCTATGTTCACTCTACTGTTTTCTGACAGCTTTTTTTTCCCTCCAAATATAGCTTTTGTCATATACCTATCAAAAATATTTTCTGTCTTCTAAAATACATTTGCTCTGGGTTTTTTTTCTTGGGGACATCCTTCCCCAGCTTTTTGTCATCTTATTCCAGTATGGACTGGTTTGCCATAGGCTGGCTCTCTGCTTATTTTCCTGGGATATCTCTCTGAAGTCATCTGGGATCTCACATAACTGTTTGTTGGATCTTGTGTTGGATCCCCTGTGTCCTAGATTCTTTGTTTCCCTCTGTCTTGATAATCCCTTGTTTTACTGGAGCACATTTTCCTGGGAATGGGCTGAAGAACTATGCTTCTCTGAAACTCCCCTTATTTGATAAAGTATGGTATTCTACATTGAAGCTAATTTTTGCAGTTCTAAAGATAGTTCTCTACTGTCTTCTCAATTACAGTGTTGCTTTTAAGTCTATTGACATTGTATGATACATTGTACATTACCAATTTTAGTCTACTTAATCCGCCCCCTTCCTTCTTTGGAACCTTTTAGCCTTCCATATGCCTGGGATTCTAAGATTTCATGATAGGGTTTGGTGCGGACTTTTTACTTTCTTTGGGACCATTAAGTCTGCAGACTGTTTCTCCTTATATTGTTTTTTTTCCTGTCTTTGGTATTTTCTCTGTTTCTTCTTCTTCTTTTTTTTTTCTGGTAGTCCTATTTCTATTTAGATGTTAGACCTCTTAAACTAGTATTATTATAATATCTTTTTTTCCCCCTCCTATTTTCGATTTTGTCTTTTTGTTCCACTTCCTGGAGATTTCCTTGACTTTATATTCTAACCCTTCTACTGAAACTTTGTCTGATTTTTAATTTATAGAGTTCTCTTACATTACGTCATTTTTTTTTCTTCAGCATTTGGTTCTTTGACAAATGCAGTTTCTTGTTTATCTGAGGATGTTTAAGGATTTTGGGGGTAGGTTTTCATCTGCTCCTGAAATGTACCCTGCCATCAATTCCTTTTTCCTGTCTTGATCTCTTACTTGTTGGAGGCTTCCCTCAAATGTGTGGTGGTCGTCCCTGGCTGTCTCTTAAAATCTATTTGGAAGCATCTTGGGTGAGCAGGACTTGCTAACTGATGGGCCTCACTGCAAAGAGTTGGAGGCCAAGCCTCTGAATTCTAAGCCCACCTTGGGTTCTTCAGAACAAACAGGCTTTCTCATCCCTGTTGGAATCGCTCTCTGTGGGCACCAAGGTTGTGCTTCATCTGTCTGCCATGTCAGTTGTTGCTCCTTTATGTAGTCTTTTCATCTTTCAAGCATTAAAAGTCATCTGTTTATCCTATGATGTGTATAATCTTCTTTTATGCTGTTAATTCTAATGACAGCTTTGAGAAGAGGGAGAGGAAATAGATTTGTGGTCAGATCACCATGTTTAATTCAAAACTTAGAATCTATATTTAAAGTGTAAATCTAAGCTTAAAGTTTTAATTTAATTATTAATGATATTAACTCAGACAGTATTTTTGGTTATACCTATAATTAGCATATTAGTTTTCTACTAAAACCTTGATTAAGAGTTCAATTTAATGCATAAAATGTTAAGAAGTTTTCAAGTTAATTAAAAGACATTAATTCTTAATAAACATATCCAAAACTTGTGATAAAGGGGAGAGGAAAAGTAAAATTCAGCTTTATTTTTTAATGGGTTAAAATAAATAGTATGCACAGTGGGAATGGTCAGTGGGTGGGAACAAGAGTTCAACAGGTACTTGGCCTTTGATGGTAAGTTTTGGATGGTGACTCACTAGACTTCTAGATATGATCATTTGCTAGTCTTTGCCACTGCACCTTAAGTCCACTAAGTAACCCCTTCCTTTTTTTGTAAAGACTGTAAAAGTCCACCTATTCTGTTAACACTGAATGAAGATAAAAACTGCCTATTCTAGTGACAAACTGAAATAATCCCCATGAGCATTAAATTGTCAGTAGTGTTTTTTGCTGTTTGACTTTTTTTTGGTATTTGCATTTTATGTCCTTATGTTTGTCAGTATAGTTTACTGAGGTTGTGAGCAAGCAATGGTAAGGCTTTAACCAAAAAGGATAATTATGTCAAAGTTTTAATCAACATGAGGGGAAAGTAACGTGCTGTCAACTAATATCCAGGCTTTGCTCAGAGGCATATTTCTTCCATCCTCTAGCAAATAACTAGATATTACTAGATACTGACAGAATTTGAGTTAGTTGGGAGCAGGCCTGTGCTGAGGCAGGAATTGTTCAGTGTTTTGACTGTTGCTGATTCACTAAATGAGCCCCTATAGGGCTGTAAGACCACATCTAATTAAAAATTTTAAATGTTTTAGTACTAATATTTTCAAAGACAAACCAATATACATTCATAATAGGAGAGAAATGTTTAATAGAAGAAAATGAAAGCAAATATTACCCACAGCTCTACCAAGTAGTCTACATTTTGGTGCACTTTATTGGTTTTATTTACCCCATACATAGATTTTGGTTACCACTGACTTTACTGTGGTGTAGCATATGCCTTGCTATACTCCAATTGTAGTGACCTTTAAAGATAACTTTCTTCCATTTAGAATAGAAGTTTTTGAATGAATTAATTTTCATTTTTCTTGCTGTTTTTTTGAGATTCTCAAAGTAAATTACACATTAACTAGATCATTTTAGGAACATATCAGAGTTTTAGATATAGTTAAAATATTTCTAGCGTATAGGAGAATTTAGTCTTCCACGTAGTGATACTTTTCAAAAATTATAACACCTTGAACCTTTTGTTCATGTGGGATTAAATGACTTTGCAGTAAAATACCTGATACAAGCAAAATGGCATTTTTATATGCCATATAGCTATTTCTGATTATTGGCTACTGGGAGTTTTTTAAATGTTCTGTATTTTAAAAAGCATCAACTAGATTTTCTGCTTGGCCCATCTTTTGTGTATTTATGGGTACTGCTGATGGGAGAGTGTGACACCATGGTAAAAACTTTTATGTTAATAGGAGGAAGGAAGGCTCATCTGAATTAGTAAAAGACAAAAACAAAACACAACCAAAAAAAACATTAAAGTTGTTGGTATTCTATGGTTTAAAGAATGTTTCTATTACTTTCAGCTAATTACAGTGACTGAGATTTGGTTATTGGCCTTACTTTAAGGAAGAGAATTGCCCTGACATAGGCTAGGCCTTTCAGTATTTGACTCTTGCTGTATTCTTGGGCTCTTCCCAAACAAGTGGATACTTCTAAAGTGTTTTAAAGATAATTTATTCTCTAGAGGGTCTCAAAAAGTTTGCCGTCACCTCTCCGCTACCACTGCAGATAAATTCTCACTAATTTGTACCTGTAGTAAGATTTACATTCCAATTATAATTGACTTTAAGTCAATTGTCAAACATTTATTGAACCTCTTAATTTATCTCAGATTCTGTGCTCAGCAGCTGGAGCTAGGAGTAGCAGGAGTCCTTCCTTCTCGGAGAAGCTTACTTTCTTGTGTGTGGTGTACCCTGCAAACTGTTGATAGCGTGTAACAAGTGGTAAATTAGATGTGTAAGTGTGCAGACAGGGAGAGGTTTTGTGGCATGGCTGCTGGCAAAGGTATTCTGGAGGTAGATGAGGTCAAGCTCACTGGGACAAAAGAGGAAGAAAAAGGCATCATAGGCAGAGAGCAGTATGAGTGAGGCAGGAGAGTGTCCTGATGAGTCAAATAAACAATAGAAATAAAAATTTGAAATAAGTGAAAAGTATTCTTTGAGGTTCTCACTTGAGTAATGTAATGGCAGTCTAGTTTACATATACAGTGAAAGGTAAATTCTCAAGAGTTGTTTTATCTGGTTTGAGATGTGAGAGAATCTTAAAGCAATACTTTCTTCTCCAGATAAGGAAACTGAGGTCCAGCAAGACTGAAGACTCCCTAGTTTGTGAGAGATAGAGCAGCCTGGCACACATAGCCTCTGACTCAGAAACATTTGTTTCATCACACTGTCTCCTGAGCTAATACATTTATTACTGGCTTTTATTTCCTGCAACAGACTGTTCTTGCATCAATACTATGTAAGGCATTACATTTTATTGTGTAAATAAATAATAGAAATAGAAAATCTCAGCTGCTTTTCATTGCTTAAGAAAAAAAAACACTGAAATCTTATTCTAGATTTTTTATGTTCTTATAATGGGAGTTTATAATAGGTGCTTGCCAGGTTTGATTACAGGTACTGTATCAAGGGCAGCATTTTATAACCCCTTCCTCAAAACTCCTCCGAGGAAGTTAGAGTAGCCAATGGGTTTCCCATAGAGCTGCACGTGTAACACACTCAAGCAGTTCATGGAATATAAGAAAGATCTTAATGCTTTATCATGTGACATTTTAACCAAGGAAAAAACACACTTTTATAGGTTTAACTTACTGTGACATTTTCTTCTATTTCCCTTCCCCTTCAGGTATCTCCAGGGCAGCTTACTAAAAAGTATAGCTCATGCTCAACAATATTTCTAGATGACAGCACAGTCAGCCAGCCTAATCTTAGAACCACAATAAAATGGTGAGTACAACTAGGTTGCCAAGGGCTGAGTGATAGACTCCCTTATGCTAAACGCATTCTAGCCAGACTCGGTCATTTCAGTCATTTGATTGTCCTTTTCAGTGATCAGGTTGAGAAACTGGTATCAGTTTTCAAGGACCTAAACATGAATCTTCAATTTCCATTTTAATCTTAGAATGGCATGGTGAAAGGGCAGGCCAGTTAGCAAATAAGAAATCCCACAAAAGTATATATACATCTTTATTTGATACATTTTTGTTAAGACATTGTTGAACATAATGAGGAGAGGTGCTTTTTATTTGATATTTCTAGGAAAACTTCTTTATGAGCTATGGACCTAAAACAATGTGTATTACTTTAGAAGCTACTCTTGGAAGAAGGAACAGCTTGTCCCCTACTGGCAGTAGACTGTATCCGCATTTAAATTTAATTGGATTTTGTCAGATTTTCCCTATTGGCATTTTTTCCCCCAACTATTTCTTTGTGAAAATTCACTTCTTCCTATTGTCCAAACATGAGGAAAAATGTATCAAAATTAGTCCTAAAGAACAAATTTTCAAGCTTAATTTCTTTTTGGATGAAATTTGTTCAACTTAGGTTTTAATATCAATAGATACTTAATTGACAAATTTTATTTTTATATTACATTCAATTAATTATTTAAATCTATATTAATATGTAAATATATTTGATTTAATTTATATTTAATATACATTATATTTAAAAATAACTTAACAAATTAATGAATTAAAGTACTTAATTCTTTAATAGATATGTGTATACATATATAAATATATTTTCAAGACACTGTATCAGTCTATAAGAAACCACAGCAGAGAACAATGAACGACATCAAGTTTTGAAAATATAGCTATGGTCATCAGGTTTATACTTAAACATGAACAGGGTTCTGTTGATGAAAACTGTTCCTTAATTTCTGGGAAATCTTCATAGTCTGCAACTGGAGATGCACTTTCAAAACACCCTAAGATAGATCTTTCACGCTTTTAAGAGAGGAAAACCAAAACAGGACCCCACTAAGCATTGTCTAAGGAATATTATTAAACTGTTGATTTTGCAGAACACGGTTTGGGAAATGCTACTTGAAAATATAATATCCTTATTCCTAATTTCATTTTTCAGTCTTAAAAACATAATTACCTTATAAACTTAATTTTATTTCTAAGGCATCAGCTTTTTTAGCTAAATAATTATCAGTAACTTCTACTTTAATTAAAAAGTCTCAATCATAATAATGTAAGTTTTCCTCTCTCACTTATAAAATAGTTGAGGTCAAATTGTGTTGCATCAAAAGTTGAGCCCTGACTGTCCAAAGTCCTGAGCTTTGGCACCTATTGAGTAATCACTGAATGTTTTCACTCAGCTAAGAAACTAAATCTGTAGGTAAAAATCCACTCTACTTTGGCTTGAGTGCCCAAGCCTCTTTTGAATTCAGGAGATTCTGAGTTTCAGTATATAATTCAAAAGTAATTTTAAAGATTAACCTTGCTCAGACAAGTAGCTTTCATATTTTTCCCCCCAACTTACTGTACTTCCAAAAATTAGACTTAAGTTCTAATTTGCTCCCATTAAAAAAATAAGGGTTTTAAAAATGGTCATTGAGTATATATTCATTATTGGTGAAATAAAGGTTAACTAAGAAATTAATAGGTTACTTAGCTTTTAGGAATTATTTTGAAAAACGTTTATCTTGAGGGTAGTAGTGCAGTTTTATCAGTGGGGTAGCTGAGCCTTCTTAGAACCATTTAGGTAACTCTTTTCAAAATACATGTCTCTGCCCTAGTAAACGTAATGTTCTTCATGTAATTGTAGATTAATGATATCAACAACAACAAAATATATATGTCTTTGAACACACGCATTCTGCCTGCTGCTACCTCTCTCCCTCCCTCCCCTCTCTCAAGCCTTTTGATAAGCTGAGGCATGCTTATGTCGACAAAAGCATCGCCCAGTGATTCTGATCTTAACCCTAACTCATTCATTCCCAAACTTTGCTACACACTGCAGTCACCTGGGGAACTTTTAAAAATGGTCCAAGTCATAACTCAGTACCAGTTGAATCAGAATGGCTTGATGGGAAAGCCAGGCTGTTTTTAAAGCCCAGGTGATCCCAGTGTGAAGCCAAACTTGGGAACTGTGGACTGGTTAGAATGTAGGAGAAAGAGAACTGCTTCTGACTATTGCTGGGATCTTGGGCAAATGTTAAGCCTTTGTTCCCTTATCAGTAAAATGGGTTGTTTAATGTCTCTAAGATTCAGTGGTCCTTTTCAGCATTTAACTTTAAATTCTGTAATTTTAAAATCAATTTGAAGATGAAACTGAAGCACTATAGAAGTATCCATCTTTGATGCTAGTAATATTGTAAGCCTTTTTACAAGTGCTAATATTACTATAGGCCTAGTTATAAAATTCAGATTTGCCTTCCCTCAATGATTTTGAGCTTCGTTTTAGACACTGAGGGCAAAGGGAAGTACATAAGAGAACCTCTTTGTTGCCTAGTACACAACATCTGTGAATAACTTAGGAATACAGTAACTTAAAGAAAGTCTACATCTGTTTGTTAATATTCCATTTAAATGAATTTGGGAATACTTGTCAGTAATACACTGTGTAGTATTGTGCTGCATAGTTAGCACTGCTTATTTCAGGGAGCTGGACCTATCATTGATTTTACGGGTACTTACATTTGCTATTAAATTTTCTAATATTATGTAAAAGTAATTTTAAATAATTTTATTTGGTGTAGCAAACTTTATTTACATTTAGTAAATAGTGGAAAACAGACGGATTAAGTAGTGAACTAAATCAACAAGTGCAGGGCTAGCTTTTTTTTTAAGCATAAAAGCTACTGTATGGCTTAAATTTAAGCATGTATACAAATAAATTAAGTTTTTTAGAATTGAAGGTTCTATTAGAAGAAGGGCAAATGACAGGAAATAGGTACTAGTTTATGTATTATAAAGATCACCTGAAACCTGTCTTCTACGAGCATATTACCTAGCATTTTAGTTCTCCTATTATTGCTAAAAGCTTAACTAAAACAAGAGAGAAGGTGCCCATATGGTACTGTTCTGAATTAGAGGGTGTCAGGACCACTGGGCAGCTGGGAAAGGTCTTCCTCAACCCCCTTTTAAAAAATGTCTTCAAACCTAACATGATAAAATCATTTGTTACAATTTTTTTTTTCCTCCACAGTGTGACCTTAGCAATATATTACCACATAAAGAACAGGTGAGCTCTTTTAAAACCTGTCTTGTTATTCTAGCTAGTTAATTTGCAAGGTAATCAAGTTTAGTGTTAGGTCATAACTGTGGACATTATTAGAGTACACTGCAGAGTGCTTTTATTACAATAATTGAAGTGAATCATTTGTTTTTGTCTTAGGCCTCAAGTTACTGAGGATCCTGGGAAGTATTTGTTTAGGTGGATTATATTTATGTTTACTGTATCAGAAGTTAAAATTGAGAATTTAAAAATTAAATCCATTGTATATCAAAACAGGGTTTTCATGGCACTATTGAAATTTTGAGCTAGATAATTCTTTGTTGCAGGGGCTGTCCTATGCCTTACAGGATGTTCAGCACCCTTGGCCACTACTTCACTAGATGCAAGGAGCACCACCCTCCACATTGTGACAGCCAGAATGTCTCCTAGCATGGCCAAAGGTCCCTCAGGGACAAAGTCACTCCTAATTGGAACCCCTGTGTTAACATAAATCATATTTTTTATGAAAAATAACTTATTTTCCACAACAAAAAAATTGAGTGAAAAATGTGTCATTGATTTACATTTTGCAAATCTCTATAATGTCTGGCTTAATAGAAGACAACTAAGTTGCATACCTGACCTGTCTTTAATCATTTGTTTTGAAGAAAGAAAGTGAAGAAGACCCAGCCTCATGCAGATATATAGTTGGAAAAAGACATATTTTTAAAGCCTTCAGATAATTGGGGATATTCTTTGATCCATACCAAAGGTCCACAAGTGCTAGTTTCTTAAATTAATACCTTACACACTGAATGGATCTTTTACTTATGTGATACTTAGATGTACATGATATTATGCACTGCTTATTTGGAGATTATCGGTTTATATTTCTTTATAGTGTCAAAAACTCATTTTTGTTAGTATCACCACCAGTCTTACCAGAAAATTTGTTCAAGTATTGAGCAGCTGCAAGCTCACAATAGGTTGAGCTCACAGTAAGAAGATACAAGCTTTCCCAAATCCTGATTTTTAGCTTGGTAGCTTAAATTTTATCATTGGCAACAAATACTTTCGTTACTTTCTTTGAAGTGACAGGCTCACTTTATTTTTGAGAGAATGACTGTTGTACTTTCAAATAAAGATGGTGTTCTATGAAAAAAGTGGCCTGTTCCACTCACAACTAAGTCACAAGTGCTTTTCCTTTATACAGCTGTATTTCAGTGTGCAGAAATGCTTAATGTATACTTTCCACTGTTTCAGAATATTAAAAAGAAATATCAAGGTTTAGTAACACAAGCATTTCTCATTGCACATAGCACGTGTTAGGCAAATTGAAGGTGTGTGGCAGCCTTGTGCTAAGCAATAGTCTGTCAGTGCCATTTTGCTAACAGCATTTGCTCACTTCACATCTCTGACACATTTGGGTAGTTCTTGCAATATTTCAAATTTTTTTGTTACTATGTTATGGTGATCTGAGTTCAGTGATTACAACTTTGCTGAAAGCTCAGGTGATCGTTAGCATTTTTTTAGCAATAAAATATTTTTACATTTAGGTATATACATTGTTTTAGATACAGTGCTATTGCACATTTACTAGACTACACTAGAGTGTAAACATGACTTTTATATGTACTGGGAAACCAAAAAATTCATTTGACTTGCATTATTGTGATACTTGCTTTATTGTGGTGGTTTGGAACCAAGCCTATGATATCTTTGAGGTGTGCCTGTTTTAATTTTTACTGTTTTATCAGGGACATTCTTAAGTAAAGTAGAATTTTTTTTCAACTGTAGGTGTCATCAAAGAACAGAATGACTAGTAGTACAAGTTTGTTACCACTGCTTTGATTCATGCTCAGAAACCAGCAGTTTTTACCCACTTTTGTTTTTATGTAATCACTGTAAATGTCAAACAGTGTAAAAGCAGATGTCTTGGTATTCCTATAAAAACACTTTGGCCTTATGGGCCTCTGAAAAGGGTCTAGAAGAACCCCAGAGGCCTACAGACCACATTTGGAGAGTCACTGTTTTAAATGAGCACAGAATGTTTGTGTGGTGAATTTCTAAATAAAAACACTGGTCTCCTTTAAAAAAGAAAGACATGTTTTTAACTTACATTCATTCAAGTTCTGAAGGCTATGTTGCCCACCACGACTGCTTTATAAAACGCTCTTGTGGATTCCAGTGTGAGGGTAGAGGAGTGAAAGTGTATTTGGTTCACGAGCATTGCCTGTTAGGGAGGTGGACGGTCAGTGCTTATAAAAGCAGCTCTGGCTGGTAGTTGTAGAAAAGATGCCACATAAAGTGATGTGCTTAGTAAAAAGAGGTCAGGAAACCCTCTTAAGATCAGAATCTAGAAGAATTTGTAAAACTCTTTGCTATGTTGAAGGTTAAGCTTCCTTTGCCCTTGTTTCTACTCCTAGCAGATAAGTTACTAAGATACTAATTCCTGGAATTAATTTTTTAAATGTACATTCTTATTTTATAGAGATGCAGATAGATCCTTGGATATTTTTGATGAGAGATCACATCCACTCACAGTAAGTGTCATTTTTATTGAAGTTGTATTTTTCTGTCATACAGTTGTTTATTCATGCTGGTTTGCTTTGCAATTAATTATGAGAAGAAAATTACTCCCTTCAGCTCGAAGTCAAAATCATTTTCCTTTAAGTCTTCCCTGCCCCATGTTTTGTCTAATCGTTTTGCAAAAGGAGTGTTGTATAAGGAATATGACTGTAAGAAGTGAGTTGCAATTGTGTATATAATTAGTGAGCTAAGGTGAGTAAATGCACCCAAATAACAGAAAATGTACCTTTTAAAAGATAATTTTCAGTAGCATCCAACAATGTAAATATTTGTAGCTAAACCCAATATGTTAAAATCTCTATGAAGACAAGTAGAAAACTATTTACATTTTAAATCAGAAAGACAAAAATTTGAAAGTTCACTTCCTCAGGTGCAGTGTAGCCACATGTGGCTGGAGCCTACTGTACAGGACAGTATAGCCTTAGAGCCTTATGGGGATAGGAAACTGAAAATGTTTTTTCAAAATTGATTGCAGAGGATGACATATATGGTGATCAACAAGGCTTTTGAGCCTAAAAATAGTTTACATTTGAATGGAATTCTGTGGGGGAAGGGTGGAAAGGAACATTTATAAATTTTCTGAGGTTTTGTGCTTATATTTTTTTCTTTACTGAATTATTGTTGAGTATTGAATCACTATGGTATTCTAAGATCCCATTGTTTATATTTAAAAGGACTAAAAGACCCGTCACCAATCAAGATTATCTTTAGGGACACATGTGTACAAGTGTGCAGATTATTATCTTATTGGTGCTTAAGAATTTTCTTCAGTGGATACTTACTTATATTACATTTTTTTTCTTTCAGCGAGAAAAGGTTCCAGAGGAATACTTTAAGCATGACCCTGAGCACAAATTTATTTACAGATTTGTTCGTACTCTTTTTAGTGCTGCACAGCTGACAGCTGAATGTGCAATAGTAACTTTGGTAAGATACTTCTTTTTTCATAAAGCATCTTTAAATATTTCAATCTTATACATAGGATATGGTCCTATTTTTCAAATAAAAGTAGGCTCCTGAAATGGTCATCAATACGTCATTAAAAGAAACTTACCAAAAAGAAAGTAAAATACACACATTTGAGCTTAACAATCATTATTATTTAAAATGTTTCCATTGCTTTTCTCATCACAAAACAATTGCTACTGTAGGCAGCAGGAGAGATTTCTGGTTTTCCTTCCACACCTCAGGACACACTTGCACATGCAGTGTACACACATACACACATACAAGGTGTGCTGGTGAGGCAGAATGTGGGCAGTAACACAACTTTCTGGCCTATAGGCAGAGACTGATTCAGTATAAGGCTAAACCAAGTCCTAGACTGTATTCCCCTGATGATTCTGTGTGTTCTGATTGAGAACTATGCCCTAAATTCCTTGGAGGATGGGTGTTCACCCGTCCTTGCTGTTGTCTTGTGCCTGCCTGTAAAATTGCCCAGTGTACTTAGTAATTACAGTGCCAGTGTACTTAGAAAGGCTTTGCTAGTTAGCCTGCTAAGGTTCAACTGTGTTAAGGACCTTTGCATCATTCACGCAGAATTTCTATGGTAAGAGTCTAACATTTGAATAATGAATAGGATCTATAAAGTGATAAAATCTTACTTTAGAAATTTTCAAGTGAGAGGTAGTTGGGATTATTTTACTCCCTCTAAGCGAACCTATGGGGGAAAGTCAACTGCATGGTCTGGAGGGAAAGACTGCTCTGATCAGTACCTACACCTTTAGTGTCCAGTTAGGATTCAGGAGAGGAGGCTTGTGGTTTGAACAGAGATTCTCCAGGGCACTGGATCAGACACAGGCCTCTCTGTGGAGGCAGGAGTGGGACCTCTGTATGGAGAGTTGGGTAGTGTAGGAAGGACAGCACCTAGGTTGGAAGAGGGAGGGGGATTTTTGTAGACAAGCTCATACCTGAGACATGGCAGAGTGGCCTAGTAATTGATTGCGCATATGGAATTGAAGCATGAATCTGAGCTAGAGGTAGGGTGTTAAAAGAGTAGCTGTTCAAATGCAGAGAAAGTGTGTAGAATAAAAGGTGGATAGAAGATAGCTCTGTAAGGACTAACAGCATTTAAGGTACAAATCCCAGAGGAGTGGTTTAGAGTGGTAGGAAAACCAGGAGAGAATAATAAAAGATGCCAAGGTAAGAGAGGTTTAAGGAGAGTGTGGTCAAAATGCTAAATGCTGCTCATTCCATAAATAACCACTGAACATGTACTCTGTGTCACTGTTGTGTGGTGATAGAAGAGAGAACAGGTTGGATAAACTTGTATTTGTGGATCTTATATTTAAAGAGAAAGTTTTGTTTTTTTGCTTTTTTTCAATGAGTGTTTTTAAAAAGCTGAATATTTCAAGTAGTAGTAAATACCAAGAAGAGAAAGCAGGGTAAAGAGATAAAGTGGTTGGAGAAGCATACTGATTTAGATAGAGCTATCAGGAAGAGGCTCTTTAAAAAGGTAATATTTGAACTGTGACCTGACTAAACTGAGGAAGATAAGGAGCTCTGGCACTGCAAGCAAAGGGGACAAGAGCCAGACTCTGAAATGGGAACATGTTTCGCATGTTCAAGGAACTGCCACATAGCTAGTAATCAGAGTGAGGAATGAGGGAAAGAATATAGGAGATGAGGTCACAGAAGGGCAGCAGCTTATCTCATAGGGCCTTGTAGCTCATGGGTCATGGGAAGAGGGTAAATTGTTATTCCTCTGATGGAAAACCCTTGGTAGATCTTGAGCAGGGGTGTGAAGTGCTGTTAATTTGAGAAGCTCTCCTGGCTGCTCCCAGGAGAAGAGACTGTAGTTGGGAGTCAGAGTGGAGCAAGAAGTCAGAAGGCAGTGACAGTCGTACTGGTAAGATGTTAAAAACAGAATAGAAAGCTCTCAGATCATCAGTGAAGGTAGAGATAAGAATTATCAACAGATTGGAGCAGGATAACTCAAATGCAAGTTTTAGCTCAGGAACAAGGCTAATGGCAGTGCCCTTTAGGTATGAGGGAAGGCGTGGGGAGTGGAGAGTTGAAACGCAGGGCTCTGGTTTGTATGTGCGAAAGCACCTATGACCTTGGCCAGAGTGTATTCAGTAGAGTGGCAGCTGCAGGGTGCAGAGAGGTGGGTAAAGAAGGGAGTGGGCAATAAGCCAGCATCAGGGCATTTGCTGTGAGGACAATGAGAGGGAGCATTCTGAGGGCCTGGGGGTGGGATGGGGACAGCATAACCACATTCATACTGGGAAAATCTCTGGCAGAGAGGGAGAAATTCTTCAGAAAGAGGTAGTTGTGGAAATACACCTCAGGACACACTTGCACATGCAGTGTACACACATACACACATACAAGGTGTGCTGGTGAGGCAGAATGTGGGCAGTAACACAACTTTCTGGCCTATAGGCAGAGACTGATTCAGTATAAGGCTAAACCAAGTCCTAGACTGTATTCCCCTGATGATTCTGTGTGTTCTGATTGAGAACTATGCCCTAAATTCCTTGGAGGATGGGTGTTCACCCGTCCTTGCTGTTGTCTTGTGCCTGCCTGTAAAATTGCCCAGTGTACTTAGTAATTACAGTGCCAGTGTACTTAGAAAGGCTTTGCTAGTTAGCCTGCTAAGGTTCAACTGTGTTAAGGACCTTTGCATCATTCACGCAGAATTTCTATGGTAAGAGTCTAACATTTGAATAATGAATAGGATCTATAAAGTGATAAAATCTTACTTTAGAAATTTTCAAGTGAGAGGTAGTTGGGATTATTTTACTCCCTCTAAGCGAACCTATGGGGGAAAGTCAACTGCATGGTCTGGAGGGAAAGACTGCTCTGATCAGTACCTACACCTTTAGTGTCCAGTTAGGATTCAGGAGAGGAGGCTTGTGGTTTGAACAGAGATTCTCCAGGGCACTGGATCAGACACAGGCCTCTCTGTGGAGGCAGGAGTGGGACCTCTGTATGGAGAGTTGGGTAGTGTAGGAAGGACAGCACCTAGGTTGGAAGAGGGAGGGGGATTTTTGTAGACAAGCTCATACCTGAGACATGGCAGAGTGGCCTAGTAATTGATTGCGCATATGGAATTGAAGCATGAATCTGAGCTAGAGGTAGGGTGTTAAAAGAGTAGCTGTTCAAATGCAGAGAAAGTGTGTAGAATAAAAGGTGGATAGAAGATAGCTCTGTAAGGACTAACAGCATTTAAGGTACAAATCCCAGAGGAGTGGTTTAGAGTGGTAGGAAAACCAGGAGAGAATAATAAAAGATGCCAAGGTAAGAGAGGTTTAAGGAGAGTGTGGTCAAAATGCTAAATGCTGCTCATTCCATAAATAACCACTGAACATATACTCTGTGTCACTGTTGTGTGGTGATAGAAGAGAGAACAGGTTGGATAAACTTGTATTTGTGGATCTTATATTTAAAGAGAAAGTTTTGTTTTTTTGCTTTTTTTCAATGAGTGTTTTTAAAAAGCTGAATATTTCAAGTAGTAGTAAATACCAAGAAGAGAAAGCAGGGTAAAGAGATAAAGTGGTTGGAGAAGCATACTGATTTAGATAGAGCGATCAGGAAGAGGCTCTTTAAAAAGGTAAAATTTGAACTGTGACCTGACTAAACTGAGGAAGATAAGGAGCTCTGGCACTGCAAGCAAAGGGGACAAGAGCCAGACTCTGAAATGGGAACATGTTTCGCATGTTCAAGGAACTGCCACATAGCTAGTAATCAGAGTGAGGAATGAGGGAAAGAATATAGGAGATGAGGTCACAGAAGGGCAGCAGCTTATCTCATAGGGCCTTGTAGCTCATGGGTCATGGGAAGAGGGTAAATTGTTATTCCTCTGATGGAAAACCCTTGGTAGATCTTGAGCAGGGGTGTGAAGTGCTGTTAATTTGAGAAGCTCTCCTGGCTGCTCCCAGGAGAAGAGACTGTAGTTGGGAGTCAGAGTGGAGCAAGAAGTCAGAAGGCAGTGACAGTCGTACTGGTAAGATGTTAAAAACAGAATAGAAAGCTCTCAGATCATCAGTGAAGGTAGAGATAAGAATTATCAACAGATTGGAGCAGGATAACTCAAATGCAAGTTTTAGCTCAGGAACAAGGCTAATGGCAGTGCCCTTTAGGTATGAGGGAAGGCGTGGGGAGTGGAGAGTTGAAACGCAGGGCTCTGGTTTGTATGTGCGAAAGCACCTATGACCTTGGCCAGAGTGTATTCAGTAGAGTGGCAGCTGCAGGGCGCAGAGAGGTGGGTAAAGAAGGGAGTGGGCAATAAGCCAGCATCAGGGCATTTGCTGTGAGGACAATGAGAGGGAGCATTCTGAGGGCCTGGGGGTGGGATGGGGACAGCATAACCACATTCATACTGGGAAAATCTCTGGCAGAGAGGGAGAAATTCTTCAGAAAGAGGTAGTTGTGGAAACAGTTCTGCAGAAGTGGTATGGGACCACTTCACTGAAAGCAGAGTTGGCTTCAGTGAGAAGAAAGAAACCTCAGTTCCACTGGCAGAGGAGGACAAGTGGTACACGTGCGTGTCAGGACATACCATGCTTGCCAGCTAACAGACAGGAAGTTGAGAGATTGCCAGTGTTCTCTAAGTGCCTCTAGTTAGTCCCATGAAGTAGAGAAGTGAACCTGGATTAATTCTTAGGGTCCTTGAGAGCGCTGAGTTATGGGGAATGGGAGCAGAATTTCACTAGGAACATATAATGTTCAATAACCATTTGTTTTTGAAAACACAATTAAGTTTGGAGAACATTGGTAAATCTGAGGCGTCAATCTGATAACCTTCAGACAATAAAGATACTCTTTAAAAGTGGACTTTTTTCTTTTTGTCAAATGGAATACTGTCCAGAGCATCCTCTGAAGTAACAATAAGTCAGCTCTCTTCTGGAATCCACACTCACCCAGTCCTTTGTAGAATAGACATTTGATACATGTAAAGGAAATCATGACAGTCTTCTCACAAACTGCCTGGCAGATTTGGATGAGCCCCAGGGCTGGAGAGACTGGCAGCTCTGTTACGGCCTGAAAACCAGTAGAACTGAACAAGCTGCAGGTTATGGAAGACAGAAACGAATGATCACAAGTGATGATGGAGATGTGCAAATGAAGGGATGTGAGAAAGTACCATCCTTTTTAGGCATGTGTGTTCCTTAAAAAAAAGGTTAAGTGAAGCCCGGCCCAAGCATACCGTCTGAACCGCCTGCTCTGCTGCGCTGCTCCGTAGCCACTGGGAGGCGCCCTTGTCCGCGAGTTTGTAACTTCAAGCTGGTGCCACGAAAGGACTACTTACTGTGAACAGAGGAAGATAAAAATGTGCTCAGCATTACAAGGGTTTACATATTCAGTCAAGTGTATGTTCAAGGCGAAACCACCATATAACCACCAGCAAGGTATGGCCCATTGCATGTGGTAGGCTCTCAAGTATTTATTGAATAGCTACAGTCCATGCTGGGCCTGTGTATACTGCTTTTTATGATGAGTAGGAAGGTAATAACACCATGCTTGTGTTCAGGATGCCCTTTGCTGCGATGTCCATTCATTCCTGTGACCAAAATTGGGCTGGAAATTGACATGGCATAGCAGGCAACAGAAGTATGTGACCTGGCCTCTAGCTCTGGCTGGCTGAACAAAAGTCTCCAAAACCTAAGAATAAAAGGCATGTCAAAAACATAAAATCTGTCATTTCTAACAATTCTTATCACAGTGCTTAAATGGGACTAAAATCAAAGACCAGTGCTCTATTTTTGCAGGTTTACTTAGAAAGGCTTTTAACTTATGCTGAGATCGACATTTGTCCCACTAACTGGAAAAGAATTGTTTTGGGAGCCATTCTTCTTGCCTCCAAGGTTTGGGATGATCAGGCTGTATGGAATGTGGACTACTGCCAGATCCTCAAGGACATTACAGTTGAGGACATGTGAGTTTGTAAGGTTTTGGTGAACTTTCTAACCATTTTACAATGCCTCATTTGTTCCCATAATGTTTACATTTTAAGAAATATTTTTAAAGGTATGTTGTGCGGAGAACTGAAATAAGCATAAAATTACATATTTCAATCCAGCTGTGGTATAACAATTCATATTTCCCATCATTAGTTGGTAGGTCTTGATGTGTTAATTGTAGTAATCTGCTTGATAAATTGGAATGTATA